TGCGATTGATACAATGTTATGGTCCTTGAAGGTGAGATCCTCCGACATGATCACTCCCAGGTCTTTGAGGTTGGTGTTTCGCGCTATTTTGTGGCCAGAATTTGTTTTGTACTCTGATGATGATTTAATTTCCTCGTGTTTACCATATCTGAGTAATTGAAATTTCTCATCGTTGAACTTCATATTGTTTTCTGCAGCCCACTGAAAGATTTGGTTGATGTCCGCCTGGAGCCTTGCAGTGTCTGCAATGGAGGACACTGTCATGCAGATTCGGGTGTCATCTGCAAAGGAAGACACGGTGCTGTGGCTGACATCCTTGTCTATGTCGGATATGAGGATGAGGAACAAGATGGGAGCGAGTACTGTGCCTTGTGGAAACAGAGCTTTTCACCGTAGCTGCCTCGGACTTCACTCTGTTGACGACTACTCTCTGTGTTCTGTTAGTGAGGAAATTATAGATCCATCGACCGACTTTTCCTGTTATTCCTTTAGCACGCAGTAATGTTGAAGCCCAGGCACAGATCAAGGACGCCTCCATAGATATGTGTGGGTTCAAGGTCACCTACAATTTGGACATTATCATGACTGTTTAAGAGTGACAACAGTTGATTACCATTACGATTACCAAACTGTGAGTTTCCAATGCTTTTGTGTCTCGCATTGTAATCGCCAATAATAAGATTTAGGCTCAGAATGAGCACAAGTTGGGAGCTCCAAGTAATTAAATTTATCAGCAGGAGCATACAAGTTAAATATATTTGAGAGCAGAGTTCCCTATATAAATCCTAACACCGTGATATTGTAGCCCCTCTGTTTTCTTATGTGCAAGAAGTTGATGGGGAAGCGATTTTTTAATATATAGAACACAAGAGTTAGTAGATTTGAGGTTATATTACGCTCATCACTATTACTAACATTATAGACACCATTGCCCTCATCACACTCTTCACCACAACTTATATTACGGTCATCACTATTACTAACATCATTGACACCATAGCATTCACACACGAGCTTTTAAATCTCTGCACAAAATTCAACTTAAACTAGCAAATAATAAAGCCTACTAGACTGGAGAATACACTAGACCTCATCTTCACTAACAATGATGATCTGATAAGAAATGTCACCATATCAAAAACAATATACTCATATCACAACATAATCGAGGTTCAGACATGTATGCGCGGAGCTCCAGACCGACATAATGAGATTAGTCATGAGGGAGCCTTCACCAAATTCAACTTCAATAATAAGAACATAAAGTGGGACCAAGTAAACCAAGTCCTAACCGATATAAGCTGGGAAGATAGACTAAGCAACACAGGCCCCAACTTATGCCTAGAACAGATTAACTCGTTGGCACTCGATGTATGCTCAAGGCTTATTCCTTTAAGAAAAAGGAGGAGTAGATGTAAAATAGAAAGAGACAAGCGCTCCCTTTACAGGCAACGAAAAAGAATAACAGCGGTTAAAAGAGGCCAATATATCTGAAATGCGTAGGGAGTCACTGGTCAGAGAAATAGCAAACATCGAACTTAAGCTAAAGGAATCATATAGGAGTCAGGAATCGCGGGAAGAACTAAAAGCCATAAATGAAATCGAAAGAAACCCAAAGTATTTCTTTTCCTATGCCAAATCAAAGTCGAGAACAACGTCCAGTATTGGGCCCCTACTTAAACAAGATTGGTCCTACACAGATGACAGCAAGGAAATGAGTGAGCTACTCAAGTCCCAATATGACTCAGTGTTTAGCGAGCCGCTAACCAGACTGAGAGTCAAAGATCAAAATGAATTTTTTTATGAGAGAGCCACAGAATTTGGTTAACAAGGAAATGAGTGACCTACTCAAGTCCCAATATGACTCAGTTTTTAGCAAGCCGCTAACCAGACTGAGAGTCAAAGATCAAAATTAATTTTTTTATGAGAGAGCCACAGAATTTGGTTAACAAGGAAGTGTGGGTGTATGATCCACTTAATATTTGTATTTATAACTCATTACAATTGTGACCAGGTGTGGACGTATCAGTGGTTCATTACTTTGTAATTTGTTCATGACTGTAACCATGTATAGGAGTGAAGCTGATTCATTACCTCTGTAACTTGCCATGATTGTGACCAGATCTACCTGGAGTTCATTACCTTTGTAACTAGTTCAGCTATCATAACTTTGGGGTCCAGTCACTGGACCCATTATGTACCTTTGTAATCTTTTGACTACCGCCCACAGGATGGGTATGGGGTGCATAAAGATATTAAAAAAAGTGTGTGTGTGTGGTGTGTGTGTGTGTGTGTGTGGGGTGTGTGTGTTTTGTGTGGGGTGTGTGTGTGTGTGTGTGTGTGTGTGTGTGTGTGTGGTGTGTGTGACTCAACAATCAATATTTGCACCAATAACTCATTACAATTGTGACCGGGTGTGGAAGTGTGAATTGCTCATTACTCTATAATTTGTTCATGATTGTAGCCAAAGTAAAACGTAAGTAACCATTCTACAGAATTCATTACCTTTGTAACTTGTGAGCTCATTACCTTTGTACCTAGTTCAGCTATCAAAACTTTGGGGGCCCAGTCCCTGGACCCATTACGTACCTCTGTAATCTGTAAATACCTTTGTAACTTGTCATGATTGTGACCAGACTTACCTGGAGTTCATTACCTTTGTAAATTGTGAGTTCATTACCTTTGTAAATTGTGAGTTCATTACCTTTGTAAATTGTGAGTTCATTACCTCTGTAACTTGCTCAGCTATCAAAACTTTGGAGTCCAGTCCCTGGACCAATTATGTACCTCTGTAATCTTTTGACTACCGCCCACAGGATGGGTATGGGGTGCATAATAAACACATTAAACTAAACAAGGAAATGAGTGACCTACTCAAGTCCCAATATGACTCAGTTTTTAGCAAGCCGCTAACCAGAATGAGAGTCGAAGTTCAAAATGAATTTTTTATGAGAGAGCCACAGAATTTTGTTAACACAAGCCTATCCGATGTTATCCTGACGCCAAATGACTTCGAACAGGCGATAAATGACATGCACATGCACTCTGCCCCAGGGCCAGACTCATGGAGCTCCCTGTTCATCAAGAACTGCAAGAAGCCCATATCACGAGCTTTTACCATCCTGTGGAGAGGGAGCATGGACACGGGGGTCATCCCACAGTTACTAAAAACAACAGACATAGCCCCACTCCACAAAGGGGGCAGTAAAGCAACAGCAAAGAACTACAGACCGATAGCACTAACATCCCATATCATAAAATTCTTTGAAGGGTCCTGAGAAGCAAGATCACCACCCATCTAGAAACCCATCAGTTACACAACCCAGGGCAACATGGGTTTAGAACAGGTCGCTCCTGTCTGTCTCAACTATTGGATCACTACGACAAGGTCCTAGATGCACTAGAAGACAAAAAGAATGCAGATGTAATACATACAGACTTTGCAAAAGCCTTCGACAAGTGTGACCATGGCGTAATAGCGCACAAAATGCGTGCTAAAGTAATAACAGGAAAAGTCGGTCGATGGATCTATAATTTCCTCACTAACAAAACACAGAGAGTAGTAGTCAACAGAGTAAAGTCCGTGGCAGCTACGGTGAAAAGCTCTGTTCCACAAGGCACAGTACTTACTCCCATCTTGTTCCTCATCCTCATATCCGACATAGACAAGGATGTCAGCCACAGCACCATGTCTTCCTTTGCAGATGACACCCGAATCTGCATGACAGTGTCTTCCATTGCAGACACTGCAAGGCTCCAGGCGGACATCAAACCTAAATCTTTCAGTGGGCTGCAGAAAACAATATGAAGTTTAACGATGAGAAATTTCAATTACTCAGATATGGCAAACACGAGGAAATTAAATCGTCAACAGAGTACAAAACAAATTCTGGCAACAAAATAGAGTGAAACATCAACGTCAAAGACTTGGGAGTGATCATGTCGGAGGATCTCACCTTCAAGGACCAAAACATTATATCAATCGCATCTGCTAGAAAAATGACAGGATGGATAATGAGAACCTTCAAAACTAGGGAGGCCAAGCCCATGATGACACTGTTCAGGTCACTTGTTCTATCTAGGCTGGAATATTGCTGCACACTAACAGCACCTTTCAAGGCAGGTGAAATTGCTGACCTAGAAAATGTACAGAGAACCTTCACAGCGCGCATAACGGAGATAAAACACCTCAATTACTGGGAGCGCTTGAGGTTCCTAAACCTGTGTTCCCTGGAACTCAGGCGGGAGAGATACATGATTATATACACCTGGAAAATCCTAGAGGGACTAGTTACCGAACTTGCACACGAAAATCACTCACTACGAAAGCAAAAGACTTGGCAGACGATGCAACATCCCCCAATGAAAAGCAGGGGTGTCACTAGCACGTTAAGACACCATACAATAAGTGTCAGGGGCCCGAGACTGTTCAACTGCCTCCCAGCATACATAAGGGGGATTACCAACAGACCCCTGGCAGTCTTCAAGCTGGCACTGGGACAAGCACCTAAAGTCATTACCTGACCAGCCGGGCTGTGGCTCGTACGTTGGTTTGCGTGCAGCCAGCAGTAACAGCCTGGTTGATCAGGCTCTGATCCACATGAGGCCTGGTCCGGACCAGGCCGCGGGGGCGTTGACCCCCGGAACCCTCTCCAGCTATTGGATGTGTTTCCTTACACCGGTTGTCCATGTTCATCCATTAGTAATATAGGTACCTGGGTGTTAGTGGACTGGTGTGGGTCGCATCCTGGGACAAAATTTGCCTAATTTGACAGAAATGCTCTGCATAACAAGCGGTTTTCTATATAGTTATATGTCACTGATGTTAGCTAGACCTGCATACCATGTACATGTACTTATAGAAAGATAGACAGAAAAAGAAAATAGAAAAAGTATGCTGGCAGGAGGGTGTTGAGGCAGTGATGACTGAGCTTCACTGACCTCAAACCTTACAACAACAACAACAACAACAACAACAACAATAACAACAACAATACAACAGATCACAGTTGAAATTTTTCAATTATCGTCGCAGTTTTGAAGATTTTTGATGATTTGTGCGGAAAGATTGATAATATAAGGTAGGTGGCGGTGTTATCATCAGTGGAGTTTTATCCTTTTAAGCTCGTAATAACCACAGAAATTTGTAAATTATGTTCATACTTCAATACTGAACAAATTCTGATGATCATTGACTCTGTTCGTAAATAAAGTCAATACTTCTGAAAATTGTCCATTTGTTCATTATCCACTTTTCTTATTGTTCATATTATTGTAGTTAATTACGTATAAGAAGTCTTACTTATTAGTTTATGTCTAAATCTAAAGTAACATTTAAGCATTAGAATTAGTTTTGCCTGAATTTATTGCATATTAGTGGTTATTTTTGAGCCTGTCAGCGTTTTATTATATGTAATTACATTATTTCTACTGCATAAAGAAGTAACGTTTGTATTAAGTCAGTTTATTAAGTTACAGGTACACATAAGTACAATTGTCATATATAGCTATCAGCAAAGAGGCTGGGCCAGGAGCTAGGGACTTGACCCTTGCAACCACAAAAAGGTGAGTACATATGCAATTTGTGACCCTGTTGCTTTATCCCTACAGGTTTAGCACTCCCTCCATTATTATAATGCAGTAGATAAAGAAATGTGTTATATTGGGATTATTTATTGACAACGTTTTGCCCCCACAGTGAAGTTCATCGAGTGTGACGTCTCGCGGCGGAGCTGCTGTTGAACTGTGTTTTTGAAGCAGGTGGCAGATTGTTTTTTTTTTTTTTTTTGCATCATCAGGAAGTGAGTTTAAAGTTTTAGGGCCCTTTATATGCATGAGGTTCCCTGTAAGTTAAAAATCCCTGTTAGGATTTTTAACCTGGGGTAGGGAGGGTAAGCCACCCAGGATAACCCAAGACAGTTGGTGAATCACCGAGGGATTGTCTGTCTTATTTTCATTGTGGTCCTTCAATCTTGTCCCCCAGATGCAACCCACACCAGTTGACTAACACCCAGGTACCTACTTACTGCTAGGGGGAAAAGGACAGCAGATGTAAGGGAACGTGCCCAACGTTTCTGCCCGTGTTTGGGATTGATCCACAGACAGTGTGTGAAGTGAGTGTTGCCAACCAAGCCACAGGCCACCCTGATGTGTCTCTTAATTAAGCAGTAAGTAGGTACACTTGTGTTAGCAGACTGTTTTTGGTGATATCCTGGGGAAAAACCTCATATAATCCTAGCAGAAGTAAGCCAGAAGAATTAGCTTTCTTGGGTATATTAAGTTAATAATCTGTATCAAGTTTTTATCTTGACTGCAGTAAGCTTACTGGCTTATGCTAATGAGGTTTTATTCACATGAAATTATTCTCAGTCATGTATTTATCTGAAGATTTAAAGCTGCTCGTAGGACTCGCCTCACTGACACTACTTTGCAGTTTCTTTGACTCATCCGCAACTTTTATTGTCCAACAATTGCTTTCCTGTATCCTCTAAATGTAAATTCATCCAACTTTAATCCATATTGACATGTTCTGTCTTGATTAGATATTATAGCCCTTTATTTGTATCTCTGCTTTTAGTTTTCCCAATGTCTAGTTGTAAGTTTTATTTAAAAAAGCTACATATGGTTTTAAAGTTTTGAAGTTTAAATTTTGCAGTAATATTGGACCCTAGTGGAATTAAGTCAACTTGTTTGACTTTTTTAGGTTATCCTTGGTAACTTACACTATGTATGATAATTGTACTTGTGTATGTACCAGATATGACAATATAATAAGTCAACTTTTAAAGCCAAGCATAACAGTTGGTTGTACATGGCAGAGGTGAAAATAAGGCGACAGCACATTACTGAAGGCCACCACTAGCTTGCTGATGCTATTTGCTCATACCACAGTTACAAGTTTTATTTGCTATTTAAAGAAATGAAACAACCAAATTTTATTTCTTTGTGCTGTATAAAAATATATTTTACATATAATAAAATAAAGCCACTAACATGGTATGTATTTCAGGTAGTAAGTCTAGACATAGGTACTGAGTGGTACAATTTTAAGTTTGCATTATTGCAGAAAAGAGTAGTAGCAAAAATAGTATAAATTGAAATATGTATTAATACTTTAAACTGATTCAGTGATCTTGAGTTAATAGAAACACTTGAGCTGGAGAAAATAAGATGCATTATTTCCTAATATTTCCTCTAACTGTCCACATTAGTCCATTCTGACCCCTAACTGTCCACATTAGTCCATTCTGACCCCTAACTGTCCACATTAGTCCATTCTGACCCCTAACTGTCCACATTAGTCCATTCTGACCCCTAACTGCCCACATTAGTCCACTCTGACCCCTAACTGTCCACATTAGTCCATTCTGACCCCTAACTGCCCACATTAGTCCACTCTGACCCCTAACTGTCCACATTAGTCCATTCTGACCCCTAGCTGTCCACATTAGTCCACTCAGACCCCTCACTATCTAATGGAAGTGGTGCTGCCTTTTAGGGGAGGGGAGGTTGACCTATTAGGTGAATATAAGCATTAACTGAAATAACACCTCAAAATTTTAGAGGTTGACTTATATACAGATAACCTGCACATAGGAGAAAGAAACTTATGTATGACTAGTTTATGATCCAAGTCAGATCAAAATGTCACCATAGGTTTCTTTCTCCTGTGTATGGATTATTTGTGTATTGTTCCAGTCATGGTATTGTGTCTTTTTATTCTCCAGAGGTTAACTTTGAAGATGGGTCGATTTGTACACTGGCATATGCAGAATATATAGCTTAAGTGCGTTATGTAGAATTCATACGCAAATAACCCACACATAGAAGAGAGATGCTTACGACGGTGTTTCGGTCCAACTTGGACCATTTACAAAGTCATACTAACAGTTAGTGTGACTTTGTAAATGGTCCAAGTCAGACCAAAACATCGTCTTAAGCTCCTCTGTTCTATGTGCAGGTTATTTGTGTATCGTTCCAGTCACGGTATTGTGCCTTTTTTTTATTTGTTGTGTAGGATTTACCTACAGTAACCCAGTACCTGGATAAAGCAACCAATATTTTTGAGGTCTAACATTCTACCATCTCCAAATTTGTGTAAGTTAGATATTCAAGGTTATCATATTTATCAAGCCCATCTGTGTCAGGCTTTAGCTTGGTCTGATACATAGATAAAGTTACAGTATAACCTTGGTCATTTTTAGGTCACAAGACAACAAGCATTTCTTTGGAAATGCATTATTTAAGTAATAATTATTAAATACCTGTTAAGCTATACACATTTGGAATCAACAGCATTTACAGTAATTCCATTAATTTAACTTCGTTTCTCTTGTTACAAAAAAAGTAGTTTGACTTGGTAGAAGATTGAAAGTTAGTTGTGCTGCCTAAGTAGCTACTTTATTTTGCACCCATTACTCATACTGGTATAGGAGGTAGGTAGGTTACTGAGAGCAGTGAAGAGTTTTTACGAGGATAGTGAGGCTCAAGTTAGAGTATGTAGGAAAGAGGGAGATTATTTCCCAGTAAAAGTAGGCCTTAGACAAGGATGTGTGATGTCACTGTGGTTGTTCAATATATTTATAGATGGGGTTGTAAGAGAAGTAAATGCAAGGGTCTTGGCAAGAGGTGGGGAGTTAAAAGATAAAGAATCACACATAAAGTGGGAGTTGTCACAGTTGCTCTTTGCTGATGACACTGTGCTCTTGGGAGATTCCGAAGAGAAGTTGCAGAGGTTGGTGGATGAATTTGGTAGGGTATGTAAAAGAAGAAAATTAAAAGTGAATACAGGAAAGAGTAAGGTTATGAGGATAGCAAAAAGATTAGGTGATGAAAGATTGGATATCAGATTGGAGGGAGAGAGTATGGAGGAGGTGAATGTATTCAGATATTTGGGAGTGGATGTGTCAGCGGATGGGTCTATGAAAGATGAGGCAAATCATAGAATTGATGAGGGGAAAAGGGTGAGCGGTGCACTTAGGAGTTTGTGGAGACAAATAACTTTGTCCCTTGGAGGCAAAGAGGGGAATGTATGAGAGTATAATTTTACCAACGCTCTTATATGGGTGTGAAGCATGGGTGATGAATGTTGCAGCGAGGAGAAGGCTGGAGGCAGTGGAGATGTCATGTCTGAGGGCAATGTGTGGTGTGAATATAATGCAGAGAATTCGTAGTTTGGAAGTTAGAAGGAGGTGCGGGATTACCAAAACTGTTGCCCAGAGGGCTGAGGAAGGGTTGTTGAGGTGGTTCAGACATGTATAGAGAATGGAGCGAAACAGAATGACTTCAGGAGTGTATCAGTCTGCAGTGGAAGGAAGGCGGGGTAGGGGTCGGCCTTGGAAAGGTTGGAGGGAGGGGGTAAAGGTTTTGTGTGCGAGGGGCTTGGACTTCCAGTAGGCATGTGTGAACGTGTTTGATAGGAGTGAATGGAGACAAATGGTTTTTAATACTTGACGTGCTGTTGGAGTGTGAGCAAAGTAACATTTATGAAGGGATTCATGGAAGCCGGCAGGCCGGACTTGAGTCCTGGAGATGGGAAGTACAGTGCCTGCACTCTGAAGGAGGGGTGTTAATGTTGCAGTTTAAAAACTGTAGTGTAAAGCACCCTTCTGGCAAGACAGTGATGGAGTGAATGATGGTGAAAGTTTTTCTTTTTCGGGCCACCCTGCCTTGGTGGGAATCGGCCATTGTGTTAATAAAAATAATACTCATACTGTGAGCTTTAATGCAAGAAACAGGATTACAGAGGTTCCAATGGGTCTTTATCAGACCCTGTTGGGTTTAGTTACTTCATGAAAAATATTAATTGTTATATGTATATATATTACAATTGCTTCATGTAGCTTATGTGCATAATACTGTATAGAAAATTAATCTAATAAATTTAAATATCTTATTTCCACTAAACAAACACTGGTGATTATTGGGTTGCAGCTTCATCAAAAAACAGTTCATTATCTAATCATTGCAGAATGTGGACACACACTCATATTTTAGATATCTTATCATTAACAATGAAAGAGTTTGCCTTACTCTGTAATGTTTGCTTGACATTGTTTCTGAAAGGTTTGTGGTCTGGAGATTATGATATATGTAATATTTCTATGTATGGCCTTGTCTCTGTCCACATGTTTTGCATAAAATGTCATTGGCATCTCCATTGTAACCATACTGCCACAGATATTTATAACCTAGCAGTATCAGTGTCTTACAGTCTGCTTACCTTGTTACATTCTCCAGACATTGTTAACTCAATAATTATTTTTGGCCCATGGTTTTCAAATTTTTTCTAACACGTTGGCCATCTTCCACAAAAGAAGAAAAAACATTTTCACCATCATTCAACACTTTCACCACCATTCACACATAATCACTGTCTTTGCAGAGGCGCCCAGATACGACATTTAGATGTCACTCCAAACAGCCGAAGTTATATTCAACATTTTCCTTACTTAATGCTGGTTTATCTGAGTCATCAACTTTGTTATGCTCTGGGGACCTGTCTGAGAGGGAATCTACAAAAGTAAGTTTATGTAGGTACTGGTACAAATAAGCACAATTATCATTCGTAATGTAAATTACTTAGGATAACCCCAAAGAAAAGTTAGGCAAAGTGACTTAACTCTAATTTTTTGTGTAATAATTTGTGTATATCTGTGTCTCGCTTCATACTCAAGAATGCTACATTCAGATTTTGGGTTATTTAGAGTAAGTACTGTAATGAGGAATGGGAATCAGTTATACAGTGGAACTCCAGTTTTCATACTTAATCCGTTCCAGAAGGTCGGTCTAAATCTGAAACGTATGAAAACCGAATTAATATTTCCTATAAGAAATAGTGTAAATACAATTAATCTGTTCCAGACACACAAAAATATTAACAAAAACACATTTTTTAAAGAATAACTATAGTTTTACATACCGAAAACAATAAGAAATGTATATAAATGATAGAGTTCCGCACCATAGACTGTTAAAGAAAGTGGCAGCTCATGGCATTGGGGGAAAAGTGCTCTCGTGGATCGAGTCATGGCTCACTGACAGGAAGCAGAGAGTGTCCATAAATGGGGTTAAATCCGAGTTGGGATCTGTAACAAGTGGCGTTCCACAGGGATCAGTCTTGGGCCGTTGTTGTTTATAATATATATCAATGATCTTGATGAGGGAATTACTAGTGATATGAGCAAATTCGCCGATGACACAAAGATAGGTAGGATAATTGATTCAAACGTAGATGTTATGGAACTTCAGGAAGATTTAAACAAACTCTATTCTTGGTCAGAAAAGTGGCAGATGCAGTTCAATGTAGATAAATGCAAGGTTCTGAAGCTTGGGAGTGCCCATAACCCTAGTACTTATAAGTTAAATGATGTAGAACTTAGCCATACAGATTGCGAAAAGGACTTGGGGGTTATGGTGAGCAGCAACCTTAAACCAAGACAGCAGTGCCTAAGCGTACGTAATAAGGCAAATAGATTACTGGGATTTATATCAAGAAGTGTAAGCAACAGAAGTCCAGAGGTCATACTGCAGCTTTATACATCATTAGTAAGGCCTCACCTAGATTATGCAGCTCAGTTCTGGTCTCCGAATTACAAAATGGACATAAATTCGTTAGAAAACATTCAGCGTAGGATGACTAAATTAATACATAGCATTAGAAATCTTCCTTATGAAGAAAGATTGAAGACTCTTAAGTTACATTCACTTGTTAGACGAAGAATGAGGGGAGACCTGATCGAAGTGTATAAGTGGAAGATAGGTACAGTGGACCCCCGCATAACGATCACCTCCGAATGCGACCAATTATGTAAGTGTATTTATGTAAGTGCGTTTGTACGTGTATGTTTGGGGGTCTGAAATGGTCTAATCTACTTCACAATATTCCTTATGGGAACAAATTCGGTCAGTACTGGCACCTGAACATACTTCTGGAGTGAAAAAATATCGTTAACCGGGGGTCCACTGTATTAATAAAGGGGATATTAATAAGGTCTTGAGGATGTCTCTCCAAGAGAGAACCCGCAGTAATGGATTTAAATTAGATAAGTTTAGATTTAGAAAGGACATAGGAAAGTATTGGTTTGGAAATAGGGTAGTTGATGAGTGGAACAGTCTACCTAGTTGGGTTATTGAGGCTGGGACTTTGGGTAGTTTCAAATCTAGGTTGGATAAGTACATGAGTGGGAGGGGTTGGATTTGAGTGGGACTTTCACATCAGAGCTTATTTCTTGGGTGGCATTGAAAATTGGGTTGGGCAAATGTTTTGTTAGTGGGATGAATTGTAAAGGACCTGCCTAGTATGGGCCAGCAGGCCTCCTGCAGTGTTCCTCCGTTCTTATGTTCTTAATTTTAATGATATATGAACATTACATACTTTTATTGAAGATTCTTGTTGGAGTTTTGAAGAAGGCGAGGAGGGGAGAGGGAATTGAGGTTATTGTTTGGAAGGGGAATCCCTCTCCATAAGGACTTCAGATATCAAAGCCCTCTCGGGGGTTACTTCCCTTTTTTTTTTACTGGCACTGGACCCGTGTCGCACTAAAAATCTGTCCAGAGAGCTCTGTTTCTGGCATCTCTTTAAGATTTGCCTAAAATGGGACAAGGTATTGTCACTGATACAGCTTGTATCAGCTTTGTCAGGTTGATATTTTTCAAGAAAAGTTTGCAACTCATTCCACTTTGCACACATCCTTAATAACTGAAGAAGGCACCTTCTCCCCTCTCTCTTCCTCCTCCTCTGAAGTAATTTCCTCAGCTGTGGTCTGTTGCTGTTCCAAATGGAAAAGAGGAATTAATAAAGGGGATGTAAATAGTGTGCTAAAAATATCTAACATAGACAGGACTCACAGCAGTGGCTTTAAATCGGAAAAATTCAGATTCAGGAAGGATGTAGGAAAGCACTGGTTTGGTAATAGAATTGTGGATGAGTGGAACAAACTCCCTAGTACTGTTATAGAAGCTAAGACATTGTGTAGTTTTAAAAATAGGTTGGATAAATACATGAGTGGGTGTGAATTGGACCTGACTAGCTTGTGCTACTAGGTTGGATGCCGTGCTCCTCCCTTAAGTGACGTGTCTGACCTCACTAGGCCAAGGCATTGGCTTAAGCCGGTGGGAGAATTGGACCTGCCTCGCATAGGCCAGTAGGTCTGTTGCAGTGTTCCTCCTTTCTTATGTTCTTATGTTCAAATGAAGGTCTTGCAGCTCTTCACTGGTTAGCTCTTCCCTGTGGTTCTCCACCAAATCTTCCACATCCTGGCCACTCACATCCAACCCCCATGGACTCCCCCAAAGACACAATACATTCCACAACAGCTGTAGAGTTGACAGGGTCAGGCTCAATAGGCATAATAGAGGCTCTCTTTGCACTGCAACCCACTATTGTATATACGCAATCTCAATGTACTGTTTGCAAAGACATCAAATAAATAAATAAAAAATAAAAAAAATAAACAAGCACAAAAATTGCGAAATGTTTCAGATGAATGTTCACTCAACCAGTGACAGAGCCAGACTGACGGCGTCTCAGGCTGGCAGATGCATCTGATACGTACGATTTCCAGATTGAGGTACAAAATCCTAACCAAAATTTCACCCAAAAAAGTGTTCTAAATCCAAATTTGACGATATGAGTTCCACTGTACTTAAACTGTATGTGGTTGTAGTTTCCACCAGCTCGAAGGCAACAAGCATGGCAAACCATTCAGTTTGTATGGTAATACCAAGTTAAAAATTGTAATATGTATCTGTATTATAGTACCATCAGGCTAGTTTGCAATAACAACACCTCCCACTCTCACACTGTCAGGGTTAAGGAAGTCGTCAATGTTGATAGGCTGAGTGACATTGCTTATAGTCTGCAGGTCATGTATTAGATCACTGAATTTATAAATTGGTTGAAGATGAGGATTGTGCATAATTATGGTGTTTTCTTGGGAAGGTAGGTAGGCATGGTGATATCAGAAGTTGTTAGCTTCCATACTGGTAAGAAATGCATGTGTTTCCTTGCATGGTACAGTTCATGTTATCCGTATATTTTTATGGGTGTGGCTGTTATTTGAACCCATTTTGATTCACTTGTCTTGTGATTAATTTGTTCTTGTTATTCCCTCAAGACAACATTGTTTTGAGTACCAAACAGCAGCTTCAGTGGTATCTTGATATTGTTCCCAAATATTCTATCAGCAACACTAAGTGGTTATAGGAGAACCAAGAATAATTCATGGGGTTTCATTCTGTAAATCTTTCAATGATTTTACTGCACAGCAGGACTAAGATTGTTTCATGGTAATCTGTCAGTAATCTTTTGTATGCTAAGTACAGTACATCATTTTGGTAATTTCAACATATGCACCATTTGTGGAACTTTACTCTACAACAGTTCTGAGAGCTTTAAATTTGTCTTCACATTGTTGGTTAATTTTATTCAAAGATGTTATTGTGCATGGAAGAGTAATACCTAGATATTGATATGGGAACACATAATTAATTGGCCTTACACAAATAACCCGCACATAGGAAAAAGAAACTTAGGGTGACACTTTGGTCCAACTTGGACTGGTCCAGATAGGACCGAAACATCGTCACAAGTTTCTTTCTATGTGCAGGTTATTAGTGTATTCTTCCAGTCATTGTATTGTGTGTTTTTTTTATTAATTTTTTAACTAAAATATGTAAATTATCACATTTTTAATTGAAACTGCTGTTGCATTTACATTTTATGGGAAAAGTAAGCCAAATATTTTTTTTTTTTTTTTTGCAAGTAGCATATTCTTAATAGGCCTGCCAATAACCTTTAATTTTGGTAGTTTATTTTATGGTTACTAATGTGACTGTTAATCACTTAGGTCTTTACTACAGAAATTACAAAGCCAGGACTATCACATACTGTGTATACATGATTTAGTGTTTTACATTTCAAGAAAAGTTGTAGTATGTACAAGAATATTATCACCATAGCTAAATGTGATATTGCTGGGGTATTTGATTCTCTCTTAGTAGAGTATAGATTGTCTTAAATAGTATGGAATTTAATATACTACCTTGGGGAGTGTCAGGCTGTATTTCTTTAGTTTCACTTTTGTATCCCAGAAGCAATGTAGCCACTGTAACAGTTGCTTACTAATGTGTATTTTACCTAGTTTACACAAAATAACTTCTCTATTTACAACATTGAAAGCATTTTTAATATAGAGAGTCATGTATCTGTGTCTTTGTCCCAGTATAGAGTTGAAGATATTGGTATACAATTTGGTGCACTATTGCTATGTGTAAAACCATTAATATGGGTGATATGTATTTTTTTTTTTCAACAAACCAGCCGTATCCCACCAAGGCAGGGTGGCCCAAAAAGAAAAACGAAAGTTTCTCTTTTTAAATTTAGTAATTTATACAAGAGAAGGGGTTACTAGCCCCTTGCCCCCGGCATTTTAGTTGCCTCTCACAACACACATGGCTTACGGAGGAAGAATTCTATTCCACTTCCCCCATGGAGATAAGAGGAAATACACAAGAACAAGAACCAGAAAGAAAATAGCAGAAAACCCAGAGGGGTGTGTATATATATGCTTGTACATGTATGTGTAGTGTGACCTAAGTGTAAATAGAAGTAGCAAGACGTGTACCTGAAATCTTGCATGTTTATGAGACAGAAAAAAGGACACCAGCAATCCTACCATCATGTAAAACAATTACAGGCTTTCGTTTTACACTCACTTGGGAGGATGGTAGTACCTCCCTGGGTGGTTGCTGTCTACCAACCTACTACCTAAATATGTATTATTTAACTCTAATAACTTGCTAGGTACCATCCTCACTAATATTTTACACAGCTGATCAGCAAGGTGGAGTGATAAAATTATATTGGTTAGATTTGGGTATTGATGCAACAATGATATTGGTCCACGAGGAAGGTAACTGACTTGCAACATAACTCATATGTACTGTTGTAACAGTGGGTTACCAGGTACATGTCTTGGTAATCTAATAAATAACGAAAAAAAAGGCACAATACAGTGACTGGAATGATACACAAATAACCCACATATAGAAGAGAGGAGCTTACGACGACGTTTCAGTCTGACTTGGACCATTTACAAAGTCACACTAATGAAAAGGAGAGGAGGAGGGAGTATATATAGGCAAGGAGGTGGTAGTGGTAGTAGTGGAGGGGAAGGTAGTAAGGAGGAGGTGGAGCCAATCAAATACTAAGAAAGAGGAGCACTGCAAGGGAGCTAGGTGCCCACAGAGGGTAGGAGCAAGAACACAGAGGGGGAACAAAATAAAAATAAAAAATGAAGGAACAAATACCAAGCCGGAAGAAAAACAACCCAAAGGAGAAAAAAGAAAGAGGAAAGGGGAAGAGGGAGAAAAAGGAAAAGGGGTCAGGTTAAGTCGCGGGTGTTATGAAGTTTGGAGCATTTTACAATGTACAGTAGTAGAAAAGGAAGGCATCTACAGAGACAAAGCCAGGACTAAGATTCTCTCCTTTTCGTTAGTGTGACTTTGTAGATGGTCCAAGTCGGACCGAAACATCGTCGTAAGCTCCTCTCTTCTATGTGCGGGTTATTTGTGTATTGGTAATCTAATGGTGTCATTTAAGAGTATTGTTCAGTGTTAATGACTTTGCTCATTGCAGGAGAGATATCAGATCTCTAAATATTTAGAGATCACTTACAGCCCACAAAAAGCCAGTAAATCATATAAATTACTGGGACCATCTCAGTGTCCTAAATATGTTTGTGGCAGAGCGGAGAGAGAGATGCACGAAGGCTCCATCTATTGTGTCATAACCTACTGCAGTGAGAGATATGGGAGAAAGTGAAAAATAGAATCACTGAAAGACAGGGTCACTTTGGCACAATAAGAGAACATTGTATCAATATTGTGGTCCCAGATTTTTTTAACATCTTAGCAAAATACAGTGGACCCCCGCCTTACGATATTAATCCGTTCCTGAGAGCTCATCGTAAGCTGAAATTATCATTAGCCGAATTAATTTTCCCCATAAGAAACAAGGGAAATCAAGTTAATTCGTGCAAGACACCCCAGAGTATGAAAAAAAAAATTTTACCACATGAAATATTAATTTTAATACACACAAACTGAAGAAGACATGCACAGTTACTACTCTACTGTAGAATAGAATAGAATACGTGACACTTACCTTTATTGAAGATCTGATGATGATTGATGGAATGGGAGGAGGGGAGAGTGTGGAAGTTATTGTTAAGAAGGGGAATCCCCTTCCATTAGGACTTGAGGTAGCAAGTCCTTTTCCGGGGTTACTTCCCTTCTTTTAATGCCACTAGGACTAGCTTGAGAGTCACTGGACCTCTGTTGCACAACAAATCTGTCCATAGAGCTCTGTACCTCCGTTTCTTTTAAGATTTGCCTATAATGGGTCAAAACATTGTCATTGTAATAGTCACCAGTAGGGCTTGCAATAGCTGCATTAGGGTGCTTTTCATCCATAAAGGTTTGCAGTTCAACCCACTTTGCATACATTTCCTTAATCTTTGAAGTAGGCACAATGGATTCCACAACTGGCATAGGCTTCTCAGGGTTGGCCCCAAACCCTTCAAAATCTTTCTTAACCCTTTGACTGTCGCGGCCGTATACATACATCTTACGAGGTACCATGTTTGACGTATATATACTCATAAATTCTAGCGGCTTCAAATCAAGCAGGAGAAAGCTGGTAGGCCCACATGTGAGAGAGTGGGTCTGTGTGGTCAGTGTGCACCATATAAAAAAAATCCTGGAGCATGCAGTGCATAATGAGAAAAAAAAAAAAAACTCCGACCGTTTTTTTTAATTACAATGCCGACTTTGTGGTCTATTTTCGTATAGTATTTATGGTTGTATTCTCGTTTTCTTGGTCTCATTTGATAGAATGGAAAACATGTTATAGAAATAGAGGTGATTTTGATTGATTTTACTATAAAAAGAACCTGGAAATGGAGCTCAAAGTAGGGGAAATGTTTGATTTTTGCCAATGCTCAAAAGTAAACAAATGATGTCATTGTACAATAAATGTCCAACTAGCCATTCTAATATGCAGTCATGAATGGGTTGATGTTATTTATACAATTATTACAGTATTGCAGTAGTCTGCATAATAGTAAGTCTTCTATTTTTTGTTTGAAATTAAATTCAAATAGAAAGCAAGAGTAATATCAGAGGGGCCTGGAGACATGACTGATGAACAAAGAAAATGTTATTTTAGAGCCAGGAATGTCTGCATTGTTCATTCTGGACCTTATTTTGAAATTGTCATATTTTTTAATTTTCGTGAATTTGGCCAAATTGCAAATTTCTGACCACATTATTGGGTAGTTGAAATCGGTAAATGGGCAGTTTCTTGTACTCAATCGATAGAAAAAATGGAGTTCTAAAGAAATAGCTATGAGTTTGGTCTACTGGAACAACGGAATTAGCCGAAAATAGGGCTCAAAGTGGGCAAAATCGCCGATTTGTAAATATCGCCGCGGTCGCTTAACTTTGGCGAGAGCATAATTCCATCAGTTTTCCATCAAATTTCGTTTTTTTGGTGTCATTACAATCGGGAAAAGATTCTCTATCATTTCATAAGAAAAAATTTTTTTTTTTTTTTTTTTTTGAAATTTTGCGACACCAGGAGACACCTCACCTCAGGATTGGGGGTTGCGACGGTCAAGGGGTTAATTTCCATACTAATTCTCACCCTTTTTACCACAGGGTTGGCACTAGAAGCTTTCTTGGGGCCCATGGTGACTTATTTTGCAGTTGCAAGCACAAAAAACACTGTGATAATTGAAATGTACCGAATGTATGCGTGGATGCGACTGCACTGGCTGGCTTGTAAACACTGGTGCTGAGGCCACACGTAGGACGCATCCCAGACTAATCGTGTGAGGTGAGTTTTTTAGCGCAAGGCGAGGCAAAATTTTTGCGTTCGAATGTATCGTATGGAGGATTTAACGTAACGTGATGCCATCGTAAGGCGGGGGTCCACTGTATATCAGGAACACTGTTGGAACAAGTGTAGAAGTCTTCAAAAGGAAACTCAGCAATTTCTTTCACCAAGTGCCAGATTAACCAGGCTGTGAAGGCTTTGCGGGTCTGAAGCAGTTAGTTACCTTGTTGACTAGGCAAGCACCAGACAAACCTGGCCCATGTCTAGGCTATGGGGGGGGAGGAAAAGTAGAATCCCATCAAAAGTATAAACGTTGTACAGTGGACCCCCGGTTAACGAACTTTTTTCATTCCAGTAGTATGTTCAGGTGCCAGTACTGACCGAATTTTTTCCCATAAGGAATATTGTGAAGTAGATTAGTCCATTTCAGACCCCAAAATACCGTCAAAAAGCACTTACATAATACACTTATAATTGGTCGCATTT